CTCCTTTTTCTCCTCCTCCCCCTCCCTCACTGTATCCCCTTCCCCTAATTCACCCAAAGGCAAGAAAGAAACGAGCTTTCAGATCTTCTACTTTTTTCCCGATTAGTAGCCCCCCACCCCCCACCCCGCGGCCAATAATTCACGATTCACACACTTTTCAGTTCAGTGCCTTGAAAGCTTCAGTGCGAACCCAGGGCTGTTGCTCAGTCTCTCTTCAACACATCCCACTTGCACTTCTTTTCTCTCTCTTTCTCTCCCTCTGAAAAGAGACTTGTGTAAGTGGAAAGCTTGCAACCTGTTTCGAGAGGCCAAACGGGCGAGCTCGGCCAAGGGAGAAGGCTGCTGTTTCTTGGCGAGAAGCCCAGTGGGGTTTTCCTTCCAAGCTCACAGCATACAAGACGGGCGTCCGAAGCAGACCGTCGTACCCCCCTTGAGATAACTCTGCCCAACTTCTCCAAAGATTCCCAAGCGGGCCTTAGAGAATTGTGCCTCCTCTACGGCAACCCCGTGAGTTTCTCGCGGAACTGAGCATTTAACTCTTGGGCGGGAGGGGGTGTGTGTGCGTGATGTGGGACTGCATAGCCCAAAAAACACAGAACGCTGATCTAGCCTTGACTTGTTTGAAGGTTTGCACCCCAAAATAATGTTTTGATCGTAAGAGTCCGGACGCTTCCAGCGTCGCCTCCTCCTCTTCATTAGTCTTGCCAACAAACATTAGTCACGGGGAACGGAGTGTCCCAGACAGTTACAGCTTGGGGTGGGGAGGAGAGTTCTCCGACACCTGCTGGAGGGAGATTGGGCTCGGTAGGTTGTTCTATCCTCTACCCTAAGTGGTTCAATTCAGGACGTATTAAGCCCCCTCTTCCCAGTCTCTTCTCCATGCCCACCTACCTGCTCCAAGAGAAGTCCGTGATGCCTCCAGGGGTTTCCAAGAAGTCCCCTGGAGACCCCTGGTTTTTGCCAGCATCTCTTCTTCCTCTTCAGCAGAAGGCAATCCGGAGCCAGCAATTCGCTCAAATGGAAAGCCCTCCCCCCCCTCAGGCCCCCGCTTCCATCGATTTTTTTTTCCAAGGGTTTCAAGCAAATTTCCCTGTGCCACAATGTTATGATGGAAAGATGCTGAAATGACAGGCCCCGTAGACGCTTGTCTTTTAATCATGTGCTCCTTCGTTTAGTTTCAGTTTGTGTGTGTGAACGCGCGCACCCGTGTGCGCGCCAAGAGGAGAAGCCGCTGACAACCTGCGGCTTCCTAATGAGTGACGAGGCAGGGCTGCTGCGGCAAAGTCACACTTCCCTGGTGTGAAGACCTCTTACTGGGAAGTTTAGTTCACTACTGTTCTCGCCAACCTAATGGTAGAACCTGTAACCAAAACCCGGAGAAGAAAGCTACAACACGCTAAAGAGAGAAACTTCTAATCGCTAAATGTTATCGCCATTCCCAGCTGCTCAGGATGACACCGGGGTTGGCTAGAGTTGTCAGGAGACCCCTTTGAAAACTGGGGGTGAGGGAGGTCTGCCTTCTCTCCCCCTCCCTACTTTTATTGGTCCCCAGCCTTTCTTTGCAAATTAGAAACATCCCCTGTGGTCTTTGTCCACTTGGTGCCATCCAGTTGTGTTGAAGAACAACTGGTACCAGCTTCAGCCAATATGGGCCCATTAGTTGAGACTGATGGGATTTGTAGCCCTTGTATGGGCAGCATTAAGTTAGGGAAAAGGTTACATTTTTTCTCTTCCTCTTCTCCACTTTTTAAATTTGATCTGTCATGGTTAATACTCACAGCCAGATTATTTCCTCTACGCAGCTGGCCACTATCTAGAAGGAAAGCAGGCAAGATTTTCAAAATGGATGTGCTTCCATGGGGCAGTCCAGTCCCCGGCAAAAGTGATTCTGCTAACCCACAGCTGAGACTATCCACTGCTGCTACAGTAGACAAAAGGCACCCTCTTTCCTCACAAGTTACAAAGTGGCCTTCTCCTCAGTTTTGGAGTCTTCATCAGCCTTGTGGCTCACCTACCCCTCACCTTGAGCACCAGAAGAGCAGGAGCTTGGCTTGGACTAAGTAGTTTTGTTTGTGGAAAGATGACTATTGAAGGCTAATTTCAGGTTGGTACCCAGGCCATTCTGGGCATCTCCAGAAGGCGTTGAGATCATGGCATGATATTTTCAAGTATCCATGGCTCCTGAATGGGAAAATGGGCTTCTCTTCCCACCTTCACAAGCCTAAAATGGGAGCAACAAATTGTTTTCCAGGCCACATATTACTCAGAACAAAAGTGGACAATTGGTGAATTAAAGTCTCCCAAGAATTGAAGTCTCCCAAGCAGACAACAGGGCTTTTTCCTCTTTCATGTTTTCTTTGCCTGCTAGATTCATCTTCTCCAGATTATTCACCTCCAAAATTCACCTTTTGGAGTTACTCCAAAATCTTTCGGAAGCTGATTCTTAGGTTGGTGGAAAACTACTGCTTTAAGGAAGCCCAAATCAAGTGTTCATTCTAATTATCCTAAGACTCCCCCTTCTAAAATGATTGGGGTGTGGAATGGTTTACATTGTCTAAACGTTTCAGACAAATATTTATACTTGCTCATCTTTGCTGTAGGACCAAAAAGAAAAGAAAAACTTGCACATCATCTCAATTTTTGTGTTCTCTGGCATAGCATGGGAATTGACAAAATTCTCCAGAAGTCCGTTGATCTTAATAACAAAAAATTGCAGGAGAAATTAATGTTTGCAGGAAAACTAATGTGAACTGAAAGTGCTCAAGTTTGATTTTGCCCAAAAGTGTCCCCTCCCCCGGCCTGCAGCATCCTAATACCGTGGTAATTACTCCTGGTTTTAACCATTCTGTCCTCCAAACTGGTCTAAATTGGTTGAAGAAGAGTGGCTGGGCCACTTGGGTTCATGAAAATGAATGAAATGTGTGTGTGTGGTGGGGGGGAGAAGGAGTGCAAACCAAAGACTCTAAATGTGAGTGATTAACAGTGCACCTGTGACCAGAACTTTCCCATCGGGTTTGTTTTGTTATTTTTAAGTGAGCCTTTAGGGAGGGGGGAGACATCCTTGAGTGACCAGACGCTGCCCTTGAAAAAATAAACAGTCTGGAAATGGCAATCTCAGCCTTCATGGGAGGTGGGCATGGGATGGCAGAGAGACGACGATCTTCTGAACTGCTTCTAATGCAAATTTCTTTCCAAGCTGTATTCTTCCTGTATGTAGATGAACTTTTCATTGAGTTTGGTGCTGGATCTAGAGTGCCATTCTGCAATTCTGTCTCAATGGTTGAGATCGGCAACATTTTAGTCTTTGTTTCACACTGGGCTAAGACTCAGGCAATTTCAAATGTGCAATATATCAATTTAATATCTAAGTTTAGGAGGAAGGAAGTATAGCTTTCCCAGCTTTGATCACAGGATCCTGGGAGTAGAATATTAATTTACTTATTCCTATTATTTGCCACCGAAGATCTATCCTTTTTTCATTTTCATACCAGATCCCCCAAAAATGTAAAAGAACACTTCATAAGATTTTCATTTTCAACAAAGGATATCAATGATAATAGTAAATGCAAATCTTCTTCAGTTTGTTGCAGAATAAAACATTTTTAGAGGGAGGTAAATTCCATGTTAACATACTACACTCATATTGGACCTTGTATATATTAAATAGATTTTTTTTAAAAAAAAAACCTGAGACGGTTTACAATGGACCCAATTGTCAAGACCTGATTGAGTTAATATCATATCAGCAAATGTGGCAGCCAAAGGAATCGGTTGCTTCTCTTTGTGTTTCACAACCAGAGCAGATTACAAATTTTAATGATCCGAAAATGTTTGGTATACAAAATCATGCTTATTTCAGTATTAGCAAAAACACAAGAATTTTTGCAACACAAACACCCAGCTGTGTCTATTTTAAAAGCAGTTCAATGACAGCTTGCACTTATGAGCATGCAATCAGCTAATTTCGCTTTTTCCCCCTTCTGTGTTAATCAACACTTTCCTTCCTGCATATCATATAGTATGGTTGCTCCACATCAGTAAATGTTTACCTAAGCTATCTTCTTCCCCCAGAATTTTGAGGAGAAAAAGAGATTTAGGGGAAGCTTTCTTTAAAAAAAATCTCACATGTCCCAACTTCCAATAATACCAAAAACAAAAATAACAATGACAATATGCGATTTATCTTTCACACTTCCAAACTTTACACCATTTTAATACAGGCAAGCAGCAAGTCCTTGAAGAATGATGAAATCTCAGATGGGAGGGGAGAGATAATATTTGTTCGTGCATTAAATCACTTTAAAGCATCCTTTTTAAATGCAGTTTCTTACTGCTTACTTTAAAGGGAATGGTTGTAGTTACACATCCTTCTTTTTTAGTTCATCCCTTCCTCCTGCACAGATTATCTCACAAGGTTCAGGTTATTCCCCGATAGTTTTTATTTTTCTTTGGTGAACCTTTAGCGTTAATAAATAATAAAACAGGTCTCTGTTCTGTCCTGAAAACCGGCATCCTTCTGCAGCTCAAACTCGATGCTTTCTACGCTCTGAACGTATTGATGTGCTGATATGGATAAAGTGATGACAGCTTCGCTTTAACTTTGATCCGGATATTCCACTGCCCTCCTCCCCCTTCCCCAGCAATACACACCCACCCACGCCCACCCCCGGGGACACTTTGCTCTCTGGATTTGGGCTTCCTTTCTCTGGCAAAAGACTGCGCCTCTCGCTCAGGTGGAAGGGAGAGGATTTGATCCGGATGATTAATTCCTTTCTCAAGGAAACCCCTCGCCGTGGCAAGCCCGCGTTTTTCCATCCGCATTAACTTAAAACAAAACAAAACAAAAACACGGCGAGGGACGGGACGACAAAAGCAGTTGGTTCTTTTATCCAACCGACCTTTTACCGCCTCCCGGCATCCTCCCACAGGGAGAATAAACCTACAAGCAAAAGCAAACCAGTCAATTCCGAGCGTAAAAGAGGCAAAAGAGAGGCTCTCAGAACATTTAAGCACCGATGTATGAATAATAGTGTAAATCTAGGCGAATGTTTACGAACAAGATTGAAATAAATAAGAGTCGGTTCTCCTAAAAAGGGAAAAATAAAAAGGAAGCAGCCTTCTATCTTTCGGCATTTAGAATAAAAACAAACGCCTGAAGCCCGCTAGCAGCTACTCCGCCCGTTTTCTCTCTTGAAACGAGTCCCGCTTCCCAGTCGACGGGAAGCCTCCGCCTGCGCCGAAAGCCCTTTTCCCCGCGAAAAGGGAAAGTCCAAGCGAGCCTTTGCAAAGGGAAGTCACGATTCGTCCGGATGGAGCCTCGCCGGTCTTTCCTTCGGAATCAAGCGGGCCCGCCCGGCGTCGCTCTGCCAGACGGGAGGAAGGGCCTCGCCGCACCACGAGGGACCCGATTACAGACCTGAGGGAAGCGGGCGAAGAAAGATTTACCTGCAAATCGTTTATTGTTTTATTTACGGCCTTCTCCCCCAGCCCCTCCCCACCCCGGGGGCCAAAGGGACGAGCCCGATCCCCCAGGCCGCACTCGAGAGAAGCGTCCGGAAGCTCCCCGGCCTTGCTGTTAAGCTCCATTGCCAAAAGCCCGCCAGCCTCGAGTCCACGCCCGCCGACCCGGGACAGGCACCCTCCCTCTCTCTTGAGGTGAGGTGCGTCGCATCCCAAGGAAGGCTGGTCGATTCCCCCTCGGCCGCTTTCCTTTCAAGAAGTCAGCCCACGAGGGGCCACGGGAGCCGAGGCGGGAGAGGCCGCGGAAGTTGGGCCTCGGCGGGACGGCGCGGCGCGGCTGGTTCCGCAAAGTAGTGCCTCTCCCCCCCCCTCCAACCTCCATTTCCTCAATCCTCCTCACATTCCCCCCCCCCCGGGCAGCAAAAAAACGGGGGTTACACCCACAAGCAGAAACAGGAGACGTGTCTATGGGCGTTGCAAGGCATACATCCGTGCCTCCAGCCATACCCTATATACATATATAGATATAGATATATGGTTTTCACTGGAGAGTGGCATGACGGGGGGTGGGGGAGGGGTGTCGCCAGGAAAGAGAAAAGAAGGAAGAGGCGGGTATAAGGTAACCTGCCGCGGTGATGCGCCTCTCCCATTGGTATCCTTGCGCCCTCCGGTAGGGCTGTCGAAAGAAAGGAGGTCTAGGAAAAAGCGAAGGGGAAGAGGCGGAGAAAAGCCCGCGCTGATTGGGCGTCCGGAAGCGAGACGTCCCTGCACGCCGGGCTCTTTGATTGGACGGCTGGTGAGAAAGGTTAAACCAAAAATTTTTTTACAGCCCTAATGTGTGTCTGTAGCTCGGGAATTAATTGTAGCTAAAGCCGTCTCTGCTGCTTCTCAGGCTCAGCCCGGCAGCTGATTTTTCCCCCCCTCCCTTGCTCGGGTGGAATAGGGGGGTTCCAGTCACCATGAAGTAGTTTGGACAGAAGGACTTGGGGAGCCTCTTTTTTTTGGAAGGAGGGGCGCAGTCATATTTTCGTGCCCTTTGGGGGGAAAAACCCTTTTTGAACCATTTGCCACCCCCCCCTTTCCTCACCCCCCCCTCCCGTGGCTTTGGCTCCGGCTCCCTTGCTAGGAGCCAGTTGGTCTTTTCCATCCCCTGTACGGGCTCTCCCGGTCCTTGCTACATGCCTTGCAAAGCTCTGGACCTGGTGGGTGTGCAAGTGTCCAGCCGCTCCCGCCGCCTCACTGCCGCCCGGCGCTTCGCCCTCCAGGACGGACCTCGCCGCGCCCGTTGCCTCGCCTTCCTCCCGGCTCTGCGACTTTCCCCTCCTGCCTAGAGTGTGATGTTGGACATGGGCGATAGGAAGGAAGTGAAAATGCTGCCCAAGTCGTCCTTCAGCATCAATAGCCTGGTGCCCGAAGCCGTCCAGAGCGACAACAACCACAGCCACCAGCAGCACCATCCTCACCACCACAATAACCATCACCCACACCACCACCATCACCACCACCACCATCACCACCACCACCCAGCACAGACGCCGCAGCCTCAGAGAGCCACCCCAGCGGAGGACGACGAGGAGGAAGAAAAGAGCCAGCTTCTACTGCAGCCCCCCGGGGTGGGGGCGGCCGCGGCCGCCGGGGCGCCGGCCCCCTCGGCCCCCCTGGAGATAGCCAAAGGGGACCTCTTGGCCGGCAAAGGGGAAGCCGGCTCAGCCGCCGAGCTGGACGACAAGGAGAAAGGGCCGTCCGAGGAAAAGAAAGGGGTGTCGGAAGGGGCCAAGGAAGGGGCCGATGGCGGCGGTGGAAAGGAGGGCGAGAAGAAGAACGGCAAGTACGAGAAGCCGCCCTTCAGCTACAACGCGCTGATCATGATGGCCATCCGTCAGAGCCCCGAGAAGCGCCTCACCCTCAACGGCATCTACGAGTTCATCATGAAAAACTTTCCCTACTACCGGGAGAACAAGCAGGGCTGGCAGAACTCCATCCGCCACAACCTGTCGCTCAATAAGTGCTTCGTTAAAGTGCCGCGGCACTACGACGACCCGGGCAAAGGCAACTACTGGATGTTGGACCCGTCCAGCGACGACGTCTTCATCGGGGGCACCACCGGCAAGCTCCGGCGACGCTCCACCACTTCCCGGGCCAAGCTGGCCTTTAAGCGGGGCGCCCGCCTGACCTCCACCGGCCTGACCTTCATGGACCGGGCGGGCTCCTTGTACTGGCCCATGTCTCCCTTCCTGTCGCTGCATCATCCGCGGGCCAGCAGTACGCTGAGCTACAACGGGAGCACGTCGGCTTACCCCAGCCACCCCATGCCCTACAGCTCAGTCCTGACCCAGAACTCCTTGGGGAACAACCACTCCTTCTCCGCCTCCAACGGCCTGAGCGTAGACAGGCTGGTCAACGGCGAGCTGCCCTACGCCACTCACCATCTCACGGCGGCGGCCCTGGCCGCCTCGGTGCCCTGCGGCTTGTCAGTGCCGTGTTCGGGCACCTATTCCCTCAACCCCTGCTCCGTCAACCTCCTGGCGGCCGGCCAGACCAGTTACTTTTTCCCCCACGTCCCTCACCCTTCCATGACTTCGCAGAGCAGCTCTTCCATGACGGGCCGGGCCGCCTCTTCCTCCACTTCGCCTCAGGCACCCTCCACGCTCCCGTGCGAGTCCTTAAGACCCTCCTTGCCGAGTTTCACCACAGGATTGTCGGGGGGACTTTCTGATTATTTCACACATCAAAATCAGGGGTCTTCCTCCAACCCGTTAATACATTAACCTCCAGGGGAGCCAAGACTGTAAGTGAACATTTTACACACCTTTGCGTTGTAAATGATAGTGAAAGGAGAGCGAGCGAGCGAGCGAGAGAGAGCGCGAGCGAGAAAGAGCACGAGAGCGAGACTATAAAAAGAACAAAACAGAAAGGAAAACAAAATAAAAACAAAAACTCACCCAGGAAAAAAAAAGAGTCCAGGTATTTTTTATTAAGTTTTCCCCTCTCCCCCATTTTCTGTACGTTTGTTCATTTTTTTTAAAGGGTTGTTTATGATTCCAGACCAGGGAGGCGAGTCAGCAAGATGGGAAGAATACCTCGTAGACAATGCATTTGGGGAAAAGGAAGGGAGTATTAATATTAAAATCTCATAAGGATGTATATCTGAAATGCTTTTGGCCATTTTGATTCCGGTAAGAAATGCCGGGCTGCTAGATTTTCCATGTTTGCAGTATTATAAGTTACCATGAATATGTTGGTGGATGCAGATCGTGGGAATAAAAATACAAAATGGATAAATCCCATGATGCAAATGGTCATTTGTATAAGATGCAAAGCAATTTGGCAGAGAAGTTCAAGAATTGCGTTTTAACCATGGATTCTTTTGTCCTCCACTTTTTTTTTAAAAAAAGAGCTATTTCCCCTCTCTTTATTTTTTCCTCCTTTTTGTTTACTTTTAGACCAAAGATTGGGTTTTTAGAAAATGCACTCAGTATGCGAAATGTTTTCTTTTCTTTAAAATATGGAATATCATACATCAGAATGATATAATTTCAGTTTTGCAGCACTGCCCATTTCAGTGAATCCGAGGGGACAGAAAATCATGAATTGCCTTCAGTTTGTGTTGTGTATATTTAGATGTATGTGGTCACTAACAGGTCACCTTTATTTTTTTTAAATGTAGTGAAATGTTAATACCTATTGTACTTATAGGTAAACCTTGCAAATATGTAACTTGTGTTGCGCAAATGCCGCATAAATTTGAGTGATTGTTAATGTCGTCTTAAAAAAAACTTGATTGTGATACTGTGGTCATATGCCCGTGTTTGTCACTTACAAAAAAAATGTTTACTATGAACACACAGAAATAAAAAAATAGGCTAAATTCATATATATTCCATAATGCTTTTGTCTCTTTTATCCAGGCGTTTTAATACCCAAAAGGTTCTTCAAACTGTAAAAAAGCTAAAGCTGAAACCTTAGGGCCGAATTTCCCTCCAGCCCCTGCTGCTTTTGTAGTATTGGCCAAAGAACCAATGGCTCCAGGCAGAATTTCCAGGCAGGAAAGAAATACAGCATGCCTCTTCTCTTTCTGTTTGCAAGTTATGAATCAGTAAAATGCTGCTAAGTTTTCAATAAAACCAGTTTGCAGGGGCAGCCACAAAACCGCGGCGTTTTTGTGCTATCATGAGGTTGGCGTTTTCGTTGGGCTGCTTGGCAAAGCTCCTGGTTTTAACTACAAGCAGTTTTCCGCGCAAGGGCTAGCCGCATCGAGGTGTTATTAAGGACCATTTGAACGCCAACCTAGCTGCTGTCGTTCAAAGCCTCACGCATTTGAGCCGCACTTTACTGCGAAAGCAAACCTCGGTGACTTTATCGAGACCTTGCAATCCTAGCCTTGCCCATAAATAAAGCCATCTGAACTCGGCAGGGCCTAGCTGCTTAGGTCTGGGTTCTCTCTTGAGCTTTTGGATGCGAAGCAAACCTTCTGGCCCTTTGTGAGTGTAGAGGTGTGAACTGTATGAATGTTGTGTCTGTACAGTTATAGACATAAGCAGTTCTTGTTATTCCGTTTCTAAATTCCAAACGACTGTATACTTGATGCTATTTTTTTTAAAGTCTTCTAGATATATGCTTTTTTAAAGGGGATATTTGGTTTCTTTCTTTCTTTCTTTCTTTCTTTCTTTCTTTCTTTCTTTCTTCTTTCTTTCGTTCTTTCTTTCGTTCTTTCTTTTTTTCTTTTCTTCTTTCATTCCTCCCCCCCCTCTCTCGATGTAACGATGTGTACAAAGATTTGTTAGAAGGAAGGGGGAAGGGGAGGAAAGCAATATTGAAATGATGTCACAGACTCTGCAGAATTGAACGTTTTAGTCCTTACGAATGGCACCAATTTCTGCGATGAAAGAGACAGACTTCAGCTTCTTCGGAGATCTTAAAACCCAAACGCAATTGCTGGTTGGAAAAGACTGGGGGGAAATGCTGCTTTTGAGAGTTTGTTTTGTGGCCACACGAGCGGAGAGGGGAAAAGAAACATCCGGTTTTAAGGACAATTTCGGGAAGGAGGGCACTCGTTCTTGCAAACCACTGCAGAATTTGTGCAAGGACTCAAGTCCCCCCCCCCCGCCCCAACCCCCGGCTAATTGCATCCCGCAGAGAGTCCGCGGAGAACAAGTTCTTCATTTGTTGCAATTGTGTAGTCCGCAAAATGTCCCGGGCTAAAGCAATAAACGGGCTCCCTTCTCACCGCGGGGGAAGAAAAATAGTCTCTTTCCTGGAGATGCTATCGCCAAATGCTTTAAAAAGGAGACTTCCACCCGCCCAGGAAAAAAGGAAGGAGTGAGAAGGGCACAAAAGGGACAGAAGTTTGGCTAGGCGAGTGATAAGAGCAAATGCAAGAAGATGGATATCATCATTAAGAAGCGAAAAGGTGGCGTTGAGGGAGGTTGAGAATTCGAAGTTCTTATCATAATAAATCGGGAAGAAAAGAGAGATGGAGGCAACTGAGAAGATCCAAAGTTTTCTTAACTTTCTCAAGAAGATGAGCCGACTACACAATAGCAACAATTGTAAAAGCCAATATCCAGGTCTCCTGCAACCGCTGTTAGAACTAGATTAGGTTAATTTTGCAAAGCTGGACAATCTAATGCGCACCTGGTAATTTTTTATTTATTTATTTTTAAGGAAAAAAGTTAAAGAATCTACCAAACAAACAAACAAACAAACAAAACTAAAAACATAAAGTTCTATTGATATTTTTTCCCCTATAGACTTCATAGCCGACAGATTTTATATCGAATATCTATAGAATTATCTGGTCTATATCTGAATCTATATTCCAGGATAAAGTCTTAGACTGACATCACTTGCTGAAGCGAGAGGAATCAACAGAAGGGTCTGGTGGTCCAGTTGACAAAGTACCTGGTGTGTTGTTATCTAACTCTTGTCCTGAATTGTATATTGTGGGAAATCCAACAGCATGGGTTAATCCTGCTAGTTCATAGGTGTTTTTTGGGGGTGGGGGTTAGAATTATAATGGGTGAGCTCCAAATCGTATGTGTAAATATGTGAGTATAGACATAGGTCTGGAAAGGGTGGGGGGACTTGGTATGTAGAAGCCAGATTGGTTCAATAATTGCAAGCCTAATCAAAGACATGGGAGGGGGGAATCCCCCCGTTGGTTAATAAGCATTAATTAGGTAAACTTGGTGGATAATCATGGCTGAGAAAAAAGGTGGGGCGATGGTGTGTTTCTCCGCACGCATTTCATCTTGAAGGTGTAAACAGGCGCTTGTTGTTCAGATGCCGCTTTGTGAAACGGGTTGCTGTGGATTAAATCATTCAGGTGTCATTTCTTTTTCTTCTTCCTTTTTTAAAACATTCTCATAGGATGCGGGCGGGTGTCCCAGCCGACAAGAAGGAATCGTAACTGTTGCATCTACCTATCTCATTATTATTTCTATTGTAGTTGCAAAGTACTTTTTCAAATGCCATCGAGGGAGGGAGGGAAGGAAAGAAGGAAGGAAGGAAGGAAGGAAGGAAGGAAGGAAGGAAGGAAGGAAGGAGTTAGATGATTAGGCTGTGTCTTTTCTGTATTGGTTGTGAAAACAATAGCTTTCTCTCCTCAAACTCTTTTCACAAACTTTCTTTTACACCTATCTACCTTCAACTCTCAACCAAACTACTAAACCTTTTGTTTTTCCTCTAGAGATGACTCTGAATAAATGCTACCAATATATCCTTTGAATATCTCCCCATGTAATTACTTCCACCATAATTTGTTACTACTATGGCCGTGTCATGCAGATAACCTAATAGATGTAGCTTTTTTAAATGATCTCCTTGTTCTCTCCCTCCCCCCCCCACCATTCGAATATTTAAATTAATTGTTTGGGTTAAATTTAAAACTGTTCGGAAGTTACCAGTCAGTAACTAGTCAGCCTGTCCCAAGAAATAGTACATTTGCAAGTTCTCTCTATCATAAACGATGTGCAGATATTTTGAAAGAGCGGCCCATTAAGAAGTTGACTTTGAAGAGCCTGATTAGAGTATAAGTCAACATGATTCTCAGAGTAAGGCTATTAGACTTAACAGAGCTTACTCTCTGGTAAATGAGTACTAAGAGGGGGAGAAATGGTGCTTTAGAAAAAGAGGAATTCTTTTTTAGAGGGTGGGATGCTGTTGAGCTCAACTGGTAGAAAGGCTGGGTGGTTTGGCCTTTGCAGTCTTAAAGTGGGGTGCTTGTCTGGGACTTGATCTTTTGGTATCCTTTGAAATAATAAAAGTGCTTAGTTAAATCTGGGAACCTTAAGCTGTCAAACAATTTAACCCGTCCAAAGACCCCCCCCCCCCATGCTTTATTTTAAAATGAGAACTGGGTGCCTTTGTTCAATCCCGAGGGTACTGTTTCCAGGCTGTCTAGGTCTTCCTTTTTTTATATATTTTTTCTTCCCGTGATTTTTATTGCTAGGTCTGGATGAATTGAGCCCACTTCTCCATCCAGTGGGATTTACCTGGCCTTGTCCTCTAAATCCCGAAGTCGTTTTGGGCCTTCAGTTCTATCCCCAGCCTCATCCGTTTTATTATATGAACCAGACCAGAACACCTGGCATTCTCTCTCCCACCTCACCTCACCCCCGGGTTCTTCTTTTTTTTTTATGAACTTCCCATCTTCATAGACCTATTTGCATATGAATGTATGCTCTTTCTTTCTCCCCCCCCCCACCTCACCCCGCATACTTTTGCAGTCGATGGTCCTGGGCAAACCTCTCTCTTCCGCCCTTGAAGA